ATGAAAACTGCAAGGAAAATCTTAATCTTTCTTGTTCCTTGTGGTTCATAATGTGGAAACTTAAGTGAGACCAGCAGACATGTCAGTCCAGTCCAGCTACACTGAATGGGGGTACACCTGGGATACTTCTAGTATAAAACAGGGAGCCAGGGAAGGGGAACCAGGGAAGCATGAACATAGCAAAGTTGCTTAGCCTCCAACCTAAATGATTTATCAACCTGTAGACATTTATATGATGATAACTTTCCTTGGTTAGATATGATGTCAACTAGATTCAACAAAACTGTAGCATTTGCAGTGTTTGCACTGGTTTAGAATGTAGGATTCTAAGATCCTCCAGTGCTTTACTAAAACATCTCAGTAAAATCATGCTGACTAAAAAGAAAGGAGACCCCTAAATTTAAAAGCCCAATCTAAAATTGGCCATCTGAAATGAATAGATACATCTCAGATTTTAAAAAAGACAAACAATAAATAAATATATGAAGAAATATTTAACACCACTAGTCTTTTAAGGGATGCAAATTAAAACAACACTGAGATTTCATCTCACCCCAGAAAGAATGGTTATTGCCCATATAATACCAATAATAAATGATGGCAGGACTGTGGAGAAGAAGAACTCTTCTCCACTGTTGGCGAGAGTGTACAATAGTACAACCCACAATGGAAATCAGTGTGGAGATTCCTCAAAAACCTAGGACTAGAATCTTTTACTTATTTGGTATAGGATCTTCCTATGCAGTTCATACTTGTAGTGATCCTCCTGTTTCAGTCTCCCCAACGCTGAGAGTACAGGCATGCACCACAACTGGTAGTGTGTTTAACATATCAAGTTTAACATATCAATACTTGGAAAATACCTGCTCCATGTTATGCCTAATATGTTTGATATTCAGACAGACAGTGAGGTTAAGCTCAACTGCCTATATTGCAGGGTAATAATAATAAGCTTCTTTTCTGGAGAGTCAACAACCTAAGTTTGCAGATCAAAAATTAGAGAAAAAGAAGGGCTGCAAGGACAGCCAACATTTTGGCCCTAGCCTTTCAAGGTCAGTGAAGACTCAGAACATAGGATATCTTATATTGTAACACTATGTAACTCAATTGTGCCCCAAATTTTCTGATCAAGGAGATTATGGGGCCACAGAAGAAAATGATTGATAATGTGGAGTGTGCCTAAGGAGAGTCACATGGAAAGAAAATATTCTCTCAGGCTTTCATAGAGAGTAAATTGGTCAAGCAATGTTCATGACTTATCCACATGGCTGACAGTGACAAAGGATCTACAAACTGCAGATAAATCCTGAGGGGATTTGGCTGACCTTATCACATACAAAACTTACATTTCTTGTTACATAGGTCTTGCTTTATCTTGGTCTTAAATATCCAGCAGAAAAGTATAAAAATGAAGTATAAAAAGTAAAGCCATATTAATATTTTGAGCTGTAAAAGGCCCAAGTCAACAACTTTGGACACTGCCAGTCTTACGGAAACCCCACTACTACTATGGACTACTGGACTATATTGGAATATTTTGCTGAATTCACACACCTACAATATTTAAATGACAGTGGAGTGCCCTTCTCTGACAAAACTAACCAAAAAACAATGAGATACAAATGAACAACCATTTTGTATCTGTATATTCAAAATAGTTAGGATAGATATACAGCTGCATTTTCTTAATTCAATGAATAGAGAGATTTGTTCTAATAGTGTTTGTGGACAGGATATAATGTCTGCATCTTGTACAATGAATAACCACTAAGACAACAATATGTAATGTATTAATTATTGAAACTGTGCTAGTAATCAGTTTTGAAACTGTATCATTGCTATTTGTGTCTCATTAGAATTATTTTTTAAAAAGGAGGGAAAGAGAAACTAAAGGGAGAGTAGGGACTGAAGAGAGTAGGGACTGAAAAAAAACCAATCAAGTTATATCATGCACACGTAGAGATTCTATATAATGAATGTGATGATGATGATGTACATGTACAAAGTAACAATAAAAATCATTTTCTTTGAAAAAAATTAGATTTTAAGAATGTGCTGGGGGCTGGGGAGATAGCTCAGTGGAATAAGTGCTTGCCTGGCAAGCACAAGGGTCTGAGTTCAATCCCCAGTTCCATCAAAAAAAAAAAAAAAAAAAAAAAAAAAAAGTCCTTCTCAAAAGAAAAAAACTAAAAACCTAGCTCTATGAAAATAATTAGTATTTAAAGAATCTA